TGCTTTAAATCTTAAAAGAAGCAAAGCTAAATATATGTTAGCAGATTCGTCTAACAATTAGTATCTACGTATAAAAAAAAAGCATTAGTACTGAAGGGTTAAGAACTATTCACTGTAAGAAGGTTTACTTTTTCACTCACCTCTGGATCCTTTAATTCTGTAGAATTGCCGAAAGCTCGCGCCAGTGCCAATATATTATCACCTGTAGATTGTAGCGTTCCACGTGGTATAACATCAATACTATCGAATTTCGTGTGGTATACATAGCCATTTTTAAAATGTGCAATATCCAAGCCTATACAAGTTTTTGGGGAATTATTTCTTTTTACTGATTCATATTTTTTTTTCAATCTACATATATATCCTTAAAACTCTCACTAATGCCTTTTATAACCATGTCATAGGTGTGTACTTACCCGGTATATGTCCGAAATTTTTGAAAATTCTAAAGTCTGAATCCGAAGGTATAATGCCAGATTGGAATATTTCTTCTGCGAATGTTGTCGCAAATGAGCGTTTAGCAGTATTACGGTAGATCTGTAAATTAAAGTAAAGCGTTCAAACATGTCGGTTTTCACAACTTACTAAGGTTTGGAGATGAATAGTGGTACCATTAATAGAAGAGGCTGCGGAGCTAATAAGAGTCGTGTAGATATCTACTCTGGTCACCGCTAATTTCATAAAAAAATTTCATTACCAGAGTACTGTAAGCAATTATTGAATGTATCTCGTTCTAAAACTTAGTGGGCAGGAGGTAGAGAGGACAGGTGAGGAAGGATTTTGTTGATTTCAAACTTTTATTCATGGAGATCGACCCAGTCTAATATACATATGTATGTACATTAGGATGCATTAACATTATTACCTATATTTTAAGGCTTCAGTCACAATATTTCGGAAAATTATNCTCCATTGGGAAAATAGTATATACCCATTTTTCGTATACAGAGTGATGCATCCTAATGTAAATATATAAAGTGTTCCTTTATCCGTCAGTTTTACAGAATCTAGTCAAAAGCATGGCTGGGACCTTTCGGATATCCTTTCAGATATAGACCATTATATACAGCACTAATAGGTGTTTACGACCAAATCAAAATCTAATTAATTGTCATTCAATTGAGTACTCGTATGAACAAATCACATGTGCAATCAATCCACACTCTCAAATAGTTGAAAATAATTTAACTATATCTAATCTATTCAAACATTTGGTCTTAACTCTTAGGTAAATAAACGATGGAAAAATGCGAAGGGGCATTCCTTTTACCAAAGACGAAAAGATTTACAATTACGCTATAACGATAACATGCATGAACATGTAAGCGAATGGGTAATGTGTATTAGGACATCAGAAGAAGACTTTGGAAGGACGATTGGGTTTCTAGGTAAGCGAACGAGCGAGCGAGTGAGTGAGTGAGTGAGCGCGAGGTTTGGGAATTATGTACATATGTATATAGGTATGTAAATTACACCAAAGTCCATAACGAAATGACACGTTCATGAATTTCTTACAACTACAAACAGCCACTTACTTTCATTAACCATGAGTGATTGGGTCCGGATTGAAAAAGAAGTTCACGACCACCGCTACCAGCTGAATCCAAGTTAATGACCGCTCTAATAATATATATTTTTATAGTCATGTACAATTTTCATCCGCAACCCATAAATCCCCACACTTACTTGCAATTTTTAGCCCATTCGTGTTGGGTAACAAAACCGTGTGAAGCCTGCAAAGGATTCTCTTCGGCTCCATTGAATAGAAATACAATTGGATGTGTGAAAGTTTGACGAGTTGTGGCGAGCACGCGCAGAGTCTCGAGCAATATAACAACCATAGTGCCATCATCGCCGGCACCTATGTATAAATTTTTCAAATAAGCAGACTCAAATACTCATCGCCCCACACTTAACATCGATTTACTTACCTGGACTGCCAGGTTTCGAGTCAAAATGGCTGTTCATGAGTAAGGCCGCTTCGCTGGTGGAATTTTTACTCCTAATGCGTACCACAACGTTTTGCACCGCCTGATACATATTCACCATTTGCCAATGCATATAAGCACCAGAGACAACCTGCACATCGACATCCAATTCGAAGAGATCCTCATGCATAGCACTTCTAATCTTTTCCAATTCATTTTTAAGCAGTTCCACTGTATGGTTTTCATTTGCATCACTTCCCACCACTTTTGGTCCGATATGATTGAAATCGTATAGTATATTTTCGGCACGTTCGGCTATGAATTGACCAGGATATGAGCTCTCGCTTGCGATTGTAATTCCTTCGGGTAGTGATAGGAAGAGTGGTATGACAACGGCATACAAGATTGCAGGCCAAATAATTAGAAATGCTGGAGCTACGAACCAGCCAAATTTAGAGGATTGCTTTTTGTGGTAGGTCATTTTGTCAGACGTAAAGGGCTCAGTCGGCACTTGTTCCCCATCCGGTGCCACCTGTTGATTGAAAACATAAATCACTAATATTTACCTGAAACTTTGATGTAGTCTGAGTTATGTAAGTTAGATTTTTGGTATTCCTTATTTCGATTCACTACTCACAAAATGGTATCAACATTTCGTACGACTTATTGATTAGAATTGGTTGTGAAAGAAACTTTCTCTATTCGTTAATAGTTAGCATCAGTGATAGGAAGAAATTGGCGTAAAGTACTGGGTAGTCCATAAGGAGCGCAACGTTACATACACTTTGCCTGTTACCGTAAAAATGTGGTTATTCCATGTGAATGTTCCAGGTTTTTGGCAGCATCAACGGAATTTATTACCGAGTTGCCTAACGTTAGTTTTAAATAATTGTCTAGCTTTAAATTTTTTTTGTATATTATAATGCACTGGGACTTGCTTGAATTCAATAATAGGCCATTAGCATTCGCCCAGCTATTTACGCGACTTAGATCTCCATTGAGATTACGTTTTGCTCACAAATGTGTTGATTTGGCGATGCGTTATTCATTCCAGAACCTTTGAAAGGAATGAAGACATGGCAATTGGTCTGAAAACAGCTTTACATTTCAAAAGGGGGATAATTCTGGCATTCTTCCAACAGCTCGGAAATGCGGACGTTGTCAAAATAGGGTTGAAAGCGTAGGTAAGGTACGGAAGAATGAATGGCAATATACACTTAATGAATTTAGAATGGATTCCGTCAGGACCAACGGCGTTGGATTTCACAGATAGTATGGACTCAACATCAATTTCATGTATACATTGAAAAGAAAACCGACTCAAGAAGTTATTAAGACAAACATAATAACCATCATAACATATATATATTACTGCGATGGCGAGACAAATTAACAATTTTTGCATTTACTTCGCCTTTTTAACCGACTTCCAAAAAAGGCGGAGGTTATTAGTTCGTCGGAATATTGTTTTTTTTTTATGTATGTTACCGCTTAACTTTGGACCACGTCAACCGATTTCGATAATTCTTTTTGCATCGGAAAGGAAGTGTCTCAGAGGTTGTCCCATACTAATCTGGTTTAGATCCGATCATTGGATCATGAAATTTATATATATATATTTTTTTAAGTCGGGATTCTTTTTTGCAAAAAATTACTTGTTTTAATACTTTATTGCATTTTTGCAATTGCATTTTTTTTGAGTGTACTTCTGCCATAAAAAGCTTTTTTGGAAGTGGCATAAAAGTGTAGATCTCTCCATTTGTGCCAACGCATCAAGAAGGGGAACACGAATTAGAAGAGAGGCTTGGCCAAATACGTGGAAAACGTTTAAGCGCTAAACATTCAGTTATTAAAATCAAATGTCATATACTGTCCATGCCCAAATATTCTAGGATATAATTTTAAACCTATTTGGGGGGTTACCTTAAAATGCAAGAGGCCTTGAAAACTCCGAAGAACTCAAAACTTTTATTAAAATGTCAAGATTTGTGGGAAATGAAAAAAACCCGGTTTGTTCGATAAAAAATTTCGATTCGAAATTTTATATTCAAAAAATCAAGATTTAAAAAAAAAAAAACAAAAAAACCCGGTCGAAACCGGCTTAGGAAAACTAGTCAATCACCCTAACAGATACATACATTCATACATATTTTCCTACCTTATGTAGCATCAGGGTTGTAAATAGTTAAAAATCGGGCATATGCGAGCTTTTTTACAAGCTTTTATTTAACTTGCTTTGCATGTACATATGTATGTGTGTATGTTTGTTAGGGAAAAATCTTGCAATAAATTTTTGACCAACTTCCCGATGAGACTTAGAGACTTGAAATTTCACAGTTGGCTCAGAACCCGATGGTAATGCAATATGAAAAATTAGTTATTCCGATAGGTGGCGCAGGAGTCGAGATACTTGAAGTAAGCGTATCTATAGTCCGATTTGGTTGATATTTCGAACTTACTCGTATATTATTTTTCTTCTACTTTAAGAAGAAAATGTTTATATTAAAAAGAGGAAATTGTGAAAAAACTTTCAGTCCTCTTTTAATTCGAGTTTTTATGATCGGTCCTCAACAAAATATTAGTAAGCCTACCACTTTAATTTTTACTATTTTTGGCCACACGCGTTACACTGTGCGTCACTTTCAAATGGCAAACGGATCTATGAGAAGCACTTTCTAGATAGTATTACCCTTGGAGGTTTGCCCTTGCCGGCCAAATAAGAGATGGACCGCTGTTGAAAAAAAAAACCTGTTATAACTTAGATGTTGTTCGGATCAGGTATTGAACCTAGGTTCGACGGAGTGATAGTACGCACTTTTGACCACCCAGCTACTGTGGCCGCATCGGGAAGAACTTGTTCGTTACCATGGCGATTACATATCTCTCTACAAGTTTTTTTTTATATACTTTAATCCAACATGCCGAATTATTCTGCTTCGTTTTCGGTGGGCTAATCGAACTAGTATATTTTATTAAATTTATCAAACCACTTTTTATCTTACAAAGCTCAATAAATAAGAAAAAAAAAATTATGTGTTAAAAAAAAAATAATACTTTTTAATTTACGTTCACCTTTCGCTTAAGGTAATGCCAGAAATCCGTACAACCGAAAAAATCCCGTAGACTGACACGATCCAACTGATGCCGCCACCACACCCGCAGCGATTCGAGAGTTAGCATTTTATCAATGCAAAATCACCGGTTCCATACATACACACTATTTATAAAAGATGCAAATAAACGCCGCTGAGCAATAAGTTGATCAAACGGACGCGGTAGGGGAGGAGGATTAGTTGAGCGCGCCCGCACTTCGGTATTATGCGTTCTGGTGGTGTTCCCTCTGATAAAGCTGCGCGTTAGCCGTTGAGTAAATAATAGAATCAAGTATTTTTTTTTTTATAACTAATCTTAGTTTTCACTTGTTTAAGCTGCATAATTTTATGCTCACTTGTATGTATCTATGTGTGTATAGTCTCTGCTATTGCTAAATTTTTGTGTTTTTACAACCTTTTTTTCTTCTAAACTACATACCTGCTGTTTATTGCTAGTTTAGCGTTATCTATTTTATTAAATTAGGAAAAAAAGCGACATAAAACTTGCGCAATCTTTAGAATGATGCTACCCTGTCAGCAATTGGAAGATAATTTTATCGCCTATCGCCTATCGCCACGATGTCACCTCGTCGTCACTATTCGAAGTTAGGGGGGATAGTAAGTAAAAAAGGTTCAGATACGCTGTGTGCGTACGGATTTCTGATATAAGAGAAAATCGGTCCCCGATTGTTGGCCAGTTTTCCGGCTTTTATCAATCAGTGGTGGTAACACTCTCATTTTCTAACGAGATTCTAGTCTTGGGTATACTTTTCATTTTAACTTAATTAATAACATTGTTTTAAAATATTAACGCCATCCTTACATTTAAAATTAACAATGGGATTTCACTTTTTTCATATACAAACATAAATTGTGTATCAGCGTATATCAATCGGATCTCTTCAGGAAACTTTGATCGATCGACTGTATGTCAAGGGCTAACAGTAAGAATTTGCACACAATTCCGCAATTAAAAAAAAATTCGATTAGAATCAAATAATGCTAAAAAAAGCGCCTTTTTTGGTGAACAAAATTTTTTCATTGAGCTTTTCTAAACTTTAAGCATGGCAGCAACAAATCTCATAAAAAGGGAATTTTTCCAAATATGGGTGATTGACTGGTTCGTGGTGGGAGCGACGAATGCGGCTGTTGTCAAACAAACTTCCTGCGATAGGCTTAAAGAATGGTGGAGTCAGGGTTATAGGAGGCGAGGTCGTTTAACTACAAGTCTATATATGCTATGGGCGCTCGCATACGAAACATCGTAAGACATATAACGCTTGTAAATATAGACCGTTCGTTGCAGAATGTATACGATATAAAGCAAGAGATATCGCATACTTTTAATCGCGTACCTATCTTTGAGTTTAACAACTATTTGTTTCCTTTTTTTGATTCCGATAAAGAAAAAGTGGTGTAATTCAAAGAAAACCTGTTAAAGCACAACCAAGAAAAAATGAAAATTTCGCAACATTTATAAAATATTAAAATTATATTCGCCGAAAACAAAATTTCTCTACAGTACAGTACAGTCTTTGTATGCGGGAGAACTGACAGCTCGTATGCGAATGCCCATAGCAGGTATAGACGTGGAGTAAGGTGGAGAAACACAAATATGTAATACTATATTTAATATGTGAGTCAATATTTCGACTAAAGCGCCATCGAGTGCTCCCATTTTATGTAAATACATTTCTTACTACGTATCTAATACTCAATGCCAATTTTAACAAAATCCGTCTATAAAAACAGACTTTCAAAATATTCCTGCATATGCAACCAATACAGTTTGAAAAAAAAACTAGATCGGATACATCACTTATCGTAGAGTTTCACAAGTAAAAACACTATCAGCTGATTGCCAAAAAATGACAACAGCTGAGACCATCTGTTTTTTGGCGTGTGCTCTTATCTTTTACAATTTCTTTCCTTTCTATTACAATTTCTTTTATTTTTATTAAAATTTATTCAAAATACACTAGCACACTGAACCAAAAACACCAATACACTAACCAAAAACACACCTACAGCCTGCCAGAAAAAACGGTAAGAAGAAGAGTTACTTTACTTATGGAACTTTACGATGGCATCACTTTTAATTTTTGACTATAAAAACCTTCCATACGGCCTTTGAACCGTAACTATACAGTCATAACACAAAAAAAAAAATTTTAGAGTGAAAATCATCAAAATTACGTTTTACTTGGAATCTATTATTTTGGGAGAATTTCGTGACCCTGTTGGAATTGATAATAGCATTTTTCCGACGTTGTCCGACGTTATCCATTAACTTAGCCTATTAGCTTTGCATAGAATTATCTTTAACGCTTTTGACTTTATAGCCCGAATTAGTTTTATTCATCTTGAAATGCATAGTTCCTTACTGCAATATCGCTTTGGTATCATAAAGACGGGACGTCTTGGGGAAAGCGGATAAGAATTCGAAAAAATAGCGATATCGTCGGCGATGATTTTCACAGAATTTTTGTATGGAATTTGCGAAAAAATTGCTGGCAGGGTAGTATGCAAGTTACATAAACCTACTTATATGTATATTTACATAGCTAAGTATATAAATATTATCTTTCAAGAACACGAAAAATAAACAAAATCACTGCATCAAATGAGGAGAACAAATAAGACCTGTTCGGCGACCGAACGGACTGCACCGAATATGACAAACGCTCGTGAAGACTGCACATCAAACATAGTTTTCAAATGCCACTGGCTGCGGTTGAAGGCTATAATTTGTAGTAAAGGAAAACTAATTTTTAATAAATTAAAACAAATATGTATAATACACATACATATGTATGTATGTATGTATGTATGTAGGTAATTGATGTATGCAATGTGAATGAAAGTGATTTAATTGGTGCTGCCGACCGGCGCAATTTGACGCCATATTACGTTCGTCATAGACTCTATGAAAAACTGTATGCTTTTATGTATGTATGGGTATATACAAATTAGACCAGATCGGTCAAAAATGTATTGTGTGATGTGAGTAAGCAGCGAATGCAACAACGACGTCGCCCTTTAGACTTCTAACTTCTGTCCTTCACCAACGGAGGTGGTTAAACCTCATCCTCGTGCGTCGCTGGTTTCATCCTCCAGTCTCACAATTATAATGTATCTAAAGCTGAAATTGGGCATAATTGAAGTTTTAAGTTTGCTTCTAAAGGATAGCTATATGGGTAAAATCTAAGTTCTACTCGCTTCTCGATCTTATGGCTAAGAGCACAGTGTAGTATCTGCGCATATCTTTCAAATGCTCTTTATTTTGAGTTGGAATCAAAAAGGGACCAGAATACATGGAAATTTGAAATTACACTACATAACAAAAACACAAATATTTTAAATGAAAACCCACATCAGTTGCGCACTTATTCTCTTCTTAAACGGATGTCAATTTTGTAAAATTCCAAAGTTTTCGTTTTATCTCTTGTTAATAGACGCGATCAAATTTGGATAGCGTGCGTGCTTTGAAGCAGTACAGTCTGTTGGCATTAAAATTAAATTACTTTTAACAGTTCTCTAAATAAATATTAACTACAAACATTTTAATCGTAACTTTCGTGCGGATGGTCAATGAAACAATGACACAACGACACGCTAATGCTGGTTTTCTACTCAGCATTGAAATGATAAAAAATGTGTGCCCTTTAAAATATGCCACGTGGACATCAACTGAATGACTATCTTTATTTTTGATGCCCAAATTTGGCAGTTAAATTCTCGCCATTTAATGACCAGTGGAAATGCGGTATAAGAAATTATTGTTGTTAGTAAAGTTTATTTTCTATAAATACTGCTGAGAAGCTGAGATAGAAAATTTACGTTGAAGTGAAGATTAACAGAACGCTGGAAGCAATGAAGTTAAGGTTTTGTCAACATTTTCTGGACTGGCAAACGATGATCGGAGTTCCTAGCTCACAGAGTTGTCAGAATAATACATATCCCTTGTTTTTGGCCACAAATGGCAAACTCGTACCTAGAGTCTCTTTTGGAAGAAAATTCTTAACAGCGCATATGTAACCCACAATCAAGAAGAAGTAGTTACGTAGTTACATTTTGAATTGAATTGAATGCCTACTATCTTGTTGCCAACCACCAGCTTTGTTATTTGTTTATACTCGCACTTGTGTGTAGATATGTATTTGTTAAACGAATGGTGGCACAATATCTAATTGGTCTCTTGGTAACAATTTTATGTGATTTGATAATATTCGATAATTATGAGTGGTACGTAGGAGTAAAGAAAATCTTTTAGTTGTAAACTATAAACTGTAGTTTATTGGTCTGACTTATCTCTGCGTCTGCACGTGCCGCAATTACGTTCTGAGACTTAGTGAAATAGTACACACAGGCATATATGTGTGGGCTTAAGTACATATTTACGTACACGTTTATGGTTCCAACCCTTCTATGACTCAATCGCGAAAAAACTCGTATGAAAATAACGAGCCTCATAAAAGATGTTGGTTCCTCTTCTGATACCCCATGTCTGATGTGGTATAAAACGTATTCTACATCTTTTGTTTGACCGCTCTCTGCTCCCAGAGATGTGCACTACCACCTGGTGAAACCAAGGTTGAATCTATGGTCCGAACAATATCAAAAAAAGAGTTTTTTTTTTAAAGCGGCCGCTCCTCGGAAGGCAATGGAATACCTGTACCATTTGTTATATTTTACTTAAATCATATACATATGCGATTAACGTGGCTGCGGACGTAGCAGTCATGTGTCCAACGGGCTATTGTGCCTGTAAGAAGCCAGATTTTTCGCTTATCACCGGGCAGCTTGAGCGGTCACGATACTCTGCATTGGTTCGGATTAGGATGTCCATCTGCTGGTAGTAGCTACTTTGGACTACTCCTCCTCTTTTAGAGCACAAGTTTCAGTGGAAATATTAAGCCAAAGTCGCCGCGATCTACTAATGTCAGCCTTTCTGCTTAAAATTAACTCTGTTTGAAGTAGATGCAACCGGTTATACGCCCTAAGCCTTAGAGCTAGCTTAGCAGGGTAGCATTTCGATTTTATGCATGGCAGACAAACTTTCTAAAATTTTTAAAAAATTTGATTTTATGCAAGAGACTTATGGTCTGATTATGGCAACTTAACGTAACTAACGGGATCTCTCTTAAAAATTATGTTAAATGGGTGTTGCTACAAGTTGAAAGCCAGTATGCCGCAACCCTTGTTTGCAGTAGAAATATATGCCCGTTCCCATTATTTCTTGAGGAAAGAGTTAGACAACAGGCTGTGAAGCATCAGATGTCAAAATTTTTTGGACACACACACACGAAATAATGGACATTTGTTTCTTGGCCGTCATCTTGAGAGCTGCATACTAGCCTTAAAATTGATAGCCGTTTCAACTTTTCCTAATAGAGATTTGATTAATAAAAAAAAAACTACTTCGTTTTTGTATGAATGAATATTTACTGGAAACACTGTACATTGGTGGAAAACTAAATAGCAACGCTCTCGGCTCGGACGCCATCTACCGGCTCAGTAGAAACTAATGCAAGCATATGCTAGGAACTTGAAGTCGATCAGTTCAGTAGTTTTCGAGTCTATAAACTACATACCAATAGACATACACGTCGTTTGTTTTATATAAAATTAACTTATAAAACTGTAACTGAAATGAATTCTTATGCATTAAAGATTATTACAGGATATAGCTAATTAATTAATTTTTATTCAAAGAATTACAAATATTGCTTCCATTTTAACACCTAAATACATCAATACGTAAATTTCACCATTACGACACCTCAAAATGACCAACTTTCATAGATGGCAACCCAACTCTTAAGTGTCGTATAAGCTGGAAAACTTTTCAGGAACTCTTCATAAATTTCGGTACGTTGCACTGATTGGTGTATCCAGTTGCCAGAAACAGCAATTTCTAAATTTGCTAAAGCCGACCCGTTCGCAGGTGACTGAAAAGTTCATATAAAAAAAAAAAAACATTAAATAAAAAAAATAAAAATAAAAAATAGGCACCTCCAAATCCATAAAAAACTCCAGTGGTTTAATATATTTGCCATATGAAAAAACAAAATAGTATTCCTTTCTTTTCAACACGGCTTGGTCGAAAGACCAATTTATAATCTTAGTCGAAGCTTTTGGTTTAATCAAAATTGACAAATGATCTGGTCCTGTTAGGGTGAAATTGTAGCGGTGTATGTTTGTCGCCTTCAACATAGTCTTGGCAGTGAGCGCTAGGAGCGGCTTTTCGCCTGGTAGAATAGGCGACTCGTCGACGGGTAGCCAGAAACTGCCCTTTGTATAAAAAATACTTAAAAATAGAAAAAAGGTTGTCAATAGTCCTTTAAGCGTCACGTCTATTTGTATGTAGTTAGGTAGTTTAGAATATTCATAGCCCACCTGGGTTTGCTGAGCTCACATGCCATTCCGTCGCTGCAAGCATCGTCAATATCGTGAGCTGCCTTAAAATGATTTATGACCTCTGAAAAGATAACGGTTCATTTATTTAGAAAATATACATATTTATTGTTTAACGGCAATAAAGATATGTACATCTACACATAAATGAGATATATACTTCACGAAGCGCTTAGGCCTATTAAAGAGTTATTTATTTGCTTTTGTTGATACAACGAGAGGGCCGCCCTCAGGGGGAAGTTTTCTGCCCTCTACTCTGAAATGCAGACAGCGGAATACCGGCTGTCAAGTCTTGGCATACGCATCTCCAGATACTTTGTGAACTTCTTTAGAACGTCTTCTGTCTTCTAAACAGCTACCCATGGGAGAGGGGACTTAACGTCAATCCCGCCAAGACCCAAATTGTACTGAGTATTTACAAGAAAGTCCCGCACACCGTATTTTCAGTCATTCTCTCTTAATGGGACGAGTCTCAAGCTCTCTAACGATGTCAAATATAGCGGTGACATTGTAGGCAAGAAGTAAAAATGTAATCGGAATGTTACAGATCGTTTCGGAAAAGCCTGTAAGGCAGAAATGGGGGAACGGTGGGGACTTAAATCCCACATACTTAGTACACTGAATCTACCCTGCGGTTGTACATGTCATCCTTTTCGACGGTGTCACCATATGGTGGCCGGCCTTGGACAAGTCCACATACATATATATATACAAATGTAGGAGCAAATCAGATAGGGTGCAGCCTCTATTTTAATAATTACTACCTGCACCAAATCTCTTTCCTAGCCGACCTTTACGGTAAACTTCAAGCCAGCTGCAACGAAACCAAATTGAAAGCAACAGTTCTGGATTTCAGTCAATTATTCGGCTTTGACAATATCTTTTCTACTAGGATTCCAGGGAGAACCGAATGCAGGCGGATTGCAACATTCGCTATCGCTAATTCTTATCGCCAAAATCTCCAAAATAACAACAAGCAACATCCAAGCAGTTACATGCCTTTCATACTGCCAGATTTGCTTGTGTACACATTTCACCTGTTCCTTTTCCATGTTGTATACTTTTAGGCGATAGTGCTTTTCATTTAAAGAAATCTTGTGACGATAATTTAGCAAAGCGATTGCCGGAATTCAATGGCTGGTCTCGTTTTAAAGGTGATATTTTGGGGCTATAACGAAAATAAGCATGTGTATATAAAAAAAAACAATAAATAAAAAAAATTTACATTATTTTGAAATTAAAAATATCGTAAAAGAAGAACTTATGAAAATTTTTGGCAACATTTTTTTATACAACACCTCTAACTGATCTTTTAAGAATTATGTATTTTGAACTTGGGAACTTTTTTGCAGTCCCTAAATAAAGTTATGTTAAACAATTTTAGTTTAATTATACTGTATAAAAAATTAGCTAACAATTCCTGTGACGGGGAATATTAGCTAAGTTATTTCCTTTTTGGGCCTATATTCGAATTCACGAACGAAAGCTCCGGGGAGCCAAAGAGAACTACTAGGGAGCGCATTAAAATTATCTAAACTTACGTCAATTTTAAATGAAGCATTATGTACCTAAGTATGCACATTAGAGTGGCCCAAAAAAAAATTTTTCCCAGATAGGGTTTGGGGCACCTTCCAAAATTTTTCCTCTTGCCGAAAGAGGTGCTGGTACCAAACCTTACGAAACTAGGTATCCGTTTAGGGGATGCTCATGATGCTCATATTTTACTCTAGAAGTATTGTGTACNAGCCAAAGAGAACTACTAGGGAGCGCATTAAAATTATCTAAACTTACGTCAATTTTAAATGAAGCATTATGTACCTAAGTATGCACATTAGAGTGGCCCAAAAAAAAATTTTTCCCAGATAGGGTTTGGGGCACCTTCCAAAATTTTTCCTCTTGCCGAAAGAGGTGCTGGTACCAAACCTTACGAAACTAGGTATCCGTTTAGGGGATGCTCATGATGCTCATATTTTACTCTAGAAGTATTGTGTACATACATATGTATATTCACCAAACAATTGGTTAAGTAACCTAAGAACATTTTAGATTTAAATTATCTATTAAAATATCACAAGCTTCAGTTGTCATGGCAACAGTAGCTTTTTTTTTAAATCACCAATATTTTTGCCAGTTTCACAGCGATCCTGCAGCGCATTTCAAGGTCATTGAGCACCCTGTATTGGTTACAGTAGAAAACTGAACGTTGGTATAGATATTACAAATATCAAAAGAAAAAAAAAACTGAGGTGGTGCGCCGATTTCTAGGATGAAAATTTTTGTCCCCATACAAAAACTGGATCACTCTAATGTACATACGTTTTAACTTTTGCGGTGTTTTAAGTTTCAAAATTCTGTAAATTTTTTTTTGAATATTTTTAATATATAGTGACGAACAAAAGTATTGGCACAGTGAATTTTTCGCCATATATGCAAAGTTTTTTATTCTAATTTATTTTCGACAATTTTTTATAAAAATATAGTTCTTTATACGCCAGAAAACGTAATAATAAAATCTCTAAACTTTGTGCAAAACTCAGGAAAACTCTTTAAATTTGCACACTAATTTGCAACTTTTTATTCAGATTTTAAAAAAAAATTCAAGGTATGCAGTTTTATAGCCCATTCAAATTTAGTATAACAAAGTGCAAGTTTAAAGTTGCTAGAAAATCGGGTTGATTTTTAGCAATTTTTTAAGTGGAAGGTGTTGCTCATTTTCTCCATACAAAAAATAATTGTCGAATTGTATTGTATGGAAGAACTTGCGTGAAAAAAAATTACCAAAAATCAAAGCGATTTTCTAGCGACTTCAAACTTGCACTTTGTTATGCTAAATTTGAATTGGCTATAAAACTGAATTTGAATTTTTTTAAAAAATCTGAATTAAAAGTTGCAAATTAGTGTGCAAATTTAATGAGTTTTCCTGAGTTTTGCACAAAGTTTAGAGTTTTTATTATTATGTTTTCTGGTGTAGAATGAAAAATATTTTTATAAAAAATTATCGAAAATAAATCAGAATAAAGAACTTTGCATATATTGCGAAAAATTGACTGTGCCAATACTTCTGTTCGGCACTGTATTTTTATTACATAGCCTCAAAGATGATAAAGTATGATAAAAAAGTTCTTGCCAAAATTCATCCAAATAAAAATTGTGGATTCCAATGGTTGGCATTGGCATGGATTGATCCATATAAAGGTACATACGTACATATGTATTTAGCGTAATGATATCGATTTCTATAGCGTCATATATGTATGTAAATACGTACCTTCTGCTGTATTGATGTGTCGATCAATTGCATACACATAAAATGCTGAATCATTGAAGAACGTACTGCCATCGGCATTGTAATATATTTGATTTGCATGCTGCATACATACAAACATACATATGTGTATATAAAGCTAAAACTGTAAATTATTTGAAATCGGTTAAATCTTACCTGAACTGAATAACGCTGCGGAGCTAGTCTCGGGGTATATGGTGAACCGATCGGTGTAATCGCCAATATAATGAAAAGTAAAGTGATGCCCAGGAAGCAAAAAATGATAGTGCGTGATTTCCGGTACAAAAAATAGATTGGCATCTGAAAAGGAGCTCATATGAAACAAAAATGCTAGCGGGAATAATTCGTTAACTTACCAAAAATCCAGCAATGAGCAGAGAAAAGATGATGGCAACAATGGAGATTACTATATCAGGATTAAGGGTGGTTCCTATGCGTCCCATTATCGGTATTAACAAATTGTATAAAAATTGTGCCACATATGAGAAGTAGAGGAAGGATATTATTTGGCTCGCGATGACAGCGATGGCAAACCATTGACCTATACAAATGTGAATGCGAATAATGAAAGTTCGATCAAGTTGAGTCGTAGATATAAAAGGTATTGAAAATGTACCTTTCCCATGCAGCTTCGTAATCAAATTTATGATAAGAGGTACGGCATAAAAAAATATCGCCAACATAGGCATGAACGCCGAACGAATACTTAAAAGTGTCAAAGCGATCGTGAGTGCTATTAGAATGAGACATTGCGAGTGCATGAAGAGTTGAATGCGAAAACTCAAACAGAGTGGATGCTATATATGAGAAAAAGAAATGGGTATAAATATTTTTTTCATATTTTTCTTTCGAAATTTGCTTACTTGTTTTGTGCGCTCCAAGAAGATTGCCGGAAATATGCCCAAGCAAAAGAACATTGGACAAAAGTAGAGGCCAAATATCAGCCAATTACTGGAAAACCACGACATGGAATAACCCATGCTATCCATCAAGTATGCTATTAAAATTGAACTGCCAGCACCCAGCGCGACTGATAAAATTTGTATAAGGAACGCGAGAGCACAGTGAGCGATAATGACACGCCATCCTAGGCTATCATGTTTGGACATGAAGAACATCGAGATACCAATGGCAATTAAGGTGACCAGACATACTACGAAGTTGATGATAATGCCGGTGTTGAGCGTATAGGAGAGCATAAACCAGCCGAGAAAATCATAGTATATGATGGGTTTGTTGTTATAATCCGCCTGAAAATTTCCAAATTCATATGTATGAATGTATGAGTATGTATAAAGGCGAGATTATCGTGCTATGGAACTTTGAGAGGTACATATAAGAGGTACGAGTCCACAGCCAGGAGGTCCTTTAACGTATTTGTATTAATAAAGTTATCGTTGTTAATAAGTTTATTGATCAAATATTACACTGTGAACTATGAAAACTAAATTTTTAGTGAACCAGTGTAGGTCGTAGCTCTGGTCAAATAATTCGCGAAACTCTTTCTATTTTTTTTTT